TGGTTTCGAAACATGGTAATTTCTGTCTCGCGATGAATACATATTTTAAAATAATAATTATATTATTATGCTCTACTGTGTATCGACCATTGTTTTTAAAGATAAATGCTAAAGAACTCTGGACTATAAATCTGACTGTTCTTTCTTTCTTTATATATATATATATATATATATACGCCCCCGAAAAAATAAAATTCGGTCGAGCACTTTAGAGGGATGCCAAATCAGTCGGATTTCGAACATGGCTTGAGGCAATCGGGTGTCTAGTCACACTGATGAACTGTAATACAGCGTAACCGTCTCTCTGTGGATGACAATATATATATATATATATATATATATATATATATATGTGTGTGTGTGTGTGTGTGTGTGTGTGTGTGTGTTGTATGTATGACAAAGTAGAAAAAGTTTTCGTGTGACGTTTTTTAGTTGAGGTCAGTCTCATTACGGTGGGGGAGAAAACGTATTCGATGTAAACTTTTGTAAAATTTTCATTTTGACCACAATTTTAACAGAAAAAAAATGCTACTCTGATCAAAGGAGAAAACAATTCACGACAACGAAAATGTTTAGAGAATGCTTTAATCGCAAGATCAATAACAGTAAATTTGCGCCTTGGCTCTTACAATATTTCGCCATTCCTGGAAGATGTTCTATTATCAAAGGGTGGGATATCTAGTAATAAAAGTGATGGAAACAAAAAGAATAAGAAAAGAATCTAAATAAAATCGACTAGAATACATATAAACATTTTTTTTAAAATTCCCAACATCCTTCGTTCGTGCGCATGTCTAGTCGCATCAACATAATAAATTTAGTCCGATGAAGTCCTAAAAGACAAAACGCGTCATATGAAAAAATTTTCCACTTTGTCATACATTTCTTCCTGTTGTAGCATACCTACGGACGATAATAGGCATGTTCCCATTCATATAAATACAGTAGTAAATACTGTATGTTGGTCTGCAGTTGGAAATTCATTGTGGAATTCACCTGGCTGCACTTGACTACTTTTACGCGGCACTGGTGAATCTTATATGCGTTTTTCTTGTCCTAAGCTTTATCCTTCATTACTAACCTTCGCGTGAATATTATATTCAGTAACCTTCCCTATGTTACAACACTCCCCAATATTATATATATATATATATATATATATATATATATATATATATATACACACACAACACACTCAAAGCATGAGTCTCTCACCGTAATGTGTATGACCATTATTTCGATTTAAAATCGTTTTTAATTAGTTAAAAGAGAAAGAATGGAAAATGTGTATAGAAAGTGCTTTGATCGCTAGATCATCTTTTGAAAATTTGCGCCCAGGTTCTTACAACATTTCACCTTACTTGGCACATCTTCTGTTCTCACAATGTGAGATTCTTAATAAAAACAGTGATAAAAACAAAAACAAAAGCATAGGGAAAATAAATGAAATGGCCTAGACTATATGCCCAGAAACGCCTAAAAAAGGAATTTGCAAATTAAAAATTTTTAAACAGCATTTTCTGTCGTTGTACAACTATAACCGGCTCTTGCATTTTTATATATTCACCCCTTATCATTCTTACCCATATATAATTCCATCAACAAAGACATTATATACGTATATGATAAGATATAGTTTATAGATAAAAGTGGTAAAAATTTTCGTGTGATGTGTTTTGCCCTTTAGGACTTCATCAAACTAACTGTTTATGTTGATGCAATATAAGATATAATTTTACGGCATGCTGTATTTATGGTTTAAAGTGCTCAGTATCAGAGATAGAGCGTATGTAAATATAAAAGTGGACACTGAAGTCAACACTCAGAGGCGGCAGCCTGTTTCATGTTTATACGCAATCCTCAGGTCATGTGCCCGACTATTTATATATACAGTTTTTCCAAATACTGTAAACTCTGTCTGGAGGAGAAAATTGCTATAATTACTTTCCCAGATCAGCACAAACTACTAAATAAACAATCAGAACTAATCTCAAAATGAAGATTTTTTACTACGTTACTTAAAAATCGAAAACGGAAAATGAATAAGAATAAAGAAAAATAAATAAATGAAAAAATAAAAATAAAACCATCAAAATAAGTAAAATAAATGAATCTAAACCAATGAGTAAGTAAATAAACTAAGTAAATAATAAACAAATTAACAAACCACGAACGGACCAATAAACACAAGAAAATGTAATAATAAAAACCAACAATAAAATAATTGATAATATATGAAACAAGTTAAAAAAAATAACAACACTCAAAATACCCCACTAAAAAAACAAAAAAACAAACACAATTATTCCCACTCAGTAGTTCCTTAAATAATTCGAAACATCACCGTTAAAACCAACCATTAGAATGATGCAACAGACTACAGCAATGCATCATTGACCTGTACATATAAACAGTCGAGAAAAACATGATGCACGTGGCCTGACGATTCCGCTGAGAATGAAATAGACTGTCGCCTCTGAGTGTTGACTTCAATGTCCCC